TCACCAAATTGCAAGATACTTGAACCTTGTGGCTGCTCTCGCCTGGTAACCTTCATCTATTTTAGTTAGTTGGTCAGCTTGCCACAATGATTATTTACTTTTGGGCGTGACATTTCCGACAAGATTCGTTTGCGATTTCCAAGTACCCGCAACCTGATCGACGCAGGTTTGCTGAATGATCAGGAGTATGTGAGGTTGGAGAAGATGGAGGTAATCTTTGTGCAATTCATTTCATAATAATGATTGGTAGGGATCTGAAAAGTTTGAAATTTGAGAGAATCGTAGCCATTAGCTTAGGCATTGCTGAACTATCGCAACTTTGTTTTGCAATATTCGTTTGCTCGGAAAACATTTTATTTTTAAATTCTTGAAGTCGCAAGGTAATGGCCTGATAATATGATTCATCATATTTCGGCATTATTGCCCAAACAGGAGATTTTCGGCGTTCACGCGATTTCAGATGGAGAGACTAGATTACAGATGTGTCAACATAGGTTTAAAATAAGTTCTAAAGAGTACATTCCAAAATCTGATTCCAATTAGCCTACCATATCCATGCAATTACGTTGATACGGTAACTCTTGGATTCGAAAAGTATGTACACTTAACTCCCACATTTTCTCATTTTCCTTCCCCTGAAGGAGCAGGAGGAAGGGTAAAATTTTTCTGACAGTTCAAATGAATTTATCGGTTTTGGTTTAAGTCTTTTCACGTTGAAAATGGTACTCTTCTTTATTCGTAAAATGTGTATATTCAATGTTGTTGCTTATAACAAGTGAAATGAAAAGTCGGCTTAATCTTAGATGTAGTACCGTGGTGAATTTTTTCGAATTCTTAAATGCTTAGGATCCAGCTCCTGGTGTTCGATGGATGGCTCCTCTTCACTGGATTCAACAAATAGTTACTGAAGAGGTACGGGATAATATCTACCAGATAGATACAAAAGTTCTTGGACATCTGGCGCATAAGTTTTCAAGCGGTAACTTAATATTTATGTCAGTTTATGCTGTGTCGTAGGTATCCTTCCTCCAGAACGTAGCCGGCTGAGCTCCAAAAAATGCCCCAAGTGCCCTTTTAATTTCACTAGCAAATTCAAAAGTTTTCACCTCCATATGGCTTGAAAAATTTGAAGGAAAATAGTAAACTGCGTGATGAGGTCTGGAGAGCATGGTAAAGAGAATGAGAAAAGAAGTGAGCGGGAGACGAAAAAGGAAACTAGCCATACGTCGCCTGCTCACTCTTCATCGCCTTTGGAACGCTAGTTTTGCGTTGCTACGCTGTAAGCACTTATGTTTTGGGTTCACGTGGCCTTCAAAAATGAGCCCTTAGTAGCTGAGTATCATCGCTGCCGTGCCTAAACCGGCAGACCTCAGCATTTCACCCCATGGACATTTACGCACTTTACTTATGACATCATTTTTGGTATGCCTTCAGTTGTCTTTTGTCATTACTGAATGTTTTGTTCAATAATTGGGCACAAAGTTGAGTATAACAACTACATCGTTGTATATACATGGATGGGTTTGAAGGAGAGCCAAGTCAACTTCGCGATTCTTGTCGTAGACCCTAGTTTTTGGACTTTCAACACTAACTTCACTTCACAAACTACGGTCAACATTGGAACTTTGGGGTTCTTATGTGTTTCAATCGGATATTGCACAGTAATTTGTAGTCGAAAATGTCCGATTGTGCACCAACCTAATATAAGCACTACTCTTTTACTTTACAATGCTGACGGCAATATGCTTGAGCAGCTTGATTAATTTTTTGTAAAGATCTC